ATCGATCGATCTTATCTATCTATCTATCTATCTATATATCTATCTATCTATCTATCTATATATCTATCTATCTATCTATCTATCTATCTACCTATCTATCTATCTATCTATCTATCTATCTATCCATCTATCTACTTATATCGATCTATCTATATCTGTCCATATATCTATATGTATCTATCTATCTATATCTATCTATCTATCTACCGATCCATCTTATCTATCTATCTTATTTACCTTATTTATCTACCTTATCTATCTTATCTATATATCTTATATATATTATCTATCTTATCTGCCTTATCTCTATTATCTATACATCTTATCTATCTATCGATCTTATCTATCTATATGTCGTATCTATTTGTCATCTACCTGTCATCTATCTGTCATCTATCATCTCTCTATCTTATCTGCCTTATCTATATTATCTATATATCTATCTTATCTATCATATCTTATCTATCTATCTTATCTATCTATCTATATGGTATATCTATCTTATCTATCTACATAGATGAGAGATCTGTCTATCTACATAGATGATAGATATATCAGATAGATAGACAGATAAGATAGATAGATAGTATAGAGAGATACGATCGATATATCAGATAGACAGATAGATAAGATAGATAGATAGATAATATAGATAAATTCTAAATATGTAGACGATAGTTACCTATCTATAATGTATGTAGATAGATAGATGATAGATATATCAGATAGACAGATAAGATAGACAGACAATATAGAGATAAGATAGATAGATAAGACAGGTAGATAGATAAGATATCTATCAATCTATATTATCTATATATATTATCTACATATCTATCTGTCTATCTATCTACGTATCTATCTATCTATCTATTTATCTATCTTTGGCTGTCTGATGGAGCTTGTGTGCTGCGGTTGACAAACAGCTGATTAAGCCGTTGCGTATCATCAGCTGCTAGCTGCTATACCCGCTAGTTATCTGATATATCTATATATACATGTGTGTTTTCTACATTCTGCTACTCTTATTGCTTGACACTATTTATTATCTCCTCATTATGTTTATGCTGTTTAGTGTGTGCTGCGGTGTACACGCAGCTAGGCGGTGTACACGCAGCTAGCTAAGAAGGTGCGTATCATCGGCTGCTACACTCGCTAGTAATGTGCATATGCCTGACGGCATAGTTATTTGTACAGCAAATGGTAGTAAACATTATATATAAATTGTTTGCTGCTTCCGCAGCATTAAATAAAATCTACAATATTGGGTGGTTTCCACCTGCGTGTACACCCGAGAGAGAAAACTCTCTACGGTGTGTGTACACCCTAAAAATGAAACATTTTTCCTCCGAAAAATGTCTAAAGAAAAACACTTGCGCAGGAGCTTTATTTTCCCACACAATATCAATATTTGCTGCTGCGTATGCTGCTACTTTTGCTGCAGCAGCTTCTGCTGCAGCTGCTGTTGCTGCTTCTGCAGCATGTGTTTGTATTTCTCTAGTCAACTGTGTAAACACTGTGTAATCTTTCTTTCATTTTACATCCCCATATATTCTACAATGCATGCAAAATGACGCGTAAGGCAAAGTCGATGATATGTAATAATAGTACATACATACATATATACATATAGCTGTTTGTTACATGATCTACGTACGCAGGCACACCAGGTGTGCATACATACGGGCAAAATATATAACATAATATACATATATATAGCATATATGTACTTACGCATATAATAATAGCCAAGGAAGCATGATACGAAATGACACAAAACTAACGCTGTCCCCTAACTCCTCTGCAAACCGCATGTACATGGATGCAGCAACAGTTGCAGCAACAGCAGCAGCTACTAGCAGCAGCTGCTGCTGCAACAACTGTCGCTAACAGTATGTACAAACGGCGGCATATAATAAATTAGATTTTTCACATTCATACAGAATATGCATATGCCGAGTAAAGAGAGAAAAGAGGGCTGCGGTGTATCCATCAGGTGTTTATCTTCTCATCATCAATGTAGACAAACAGAGCAATACTATACACATAAAAATATATTATTAGCATACACGTAATGCATAATATATATGTATATAATATATTATATATATATACATGACATATATTACGTATATACTTTATATATTTATGTGGAGTGAGGAGCGATAAGAAACTGCCAAGAGAATTTGCTGCCTCCGTGCGATTTTCAAAACCGCAGAAACACTCAAACGCCAAAAACTATTCCACGCCTGCTGCTGCTGCTCCTGCTGCTGCTGCTGCTGCAGCTTGCTAATTCAGCAGGCAGAGAAAAAGACATAATTACCTTGGACAGGGAATATTGTCGAGGTGCGCAGAGGTAGTGAAGGAGTTTTCCATATATTCAGAAGGCGGCGGCGCCAGTCTTGCTGCTGCTGCTGCTGCTGCTGTTGCTGCTGCTGCAGCTGCTGCTGGTGCTGCTGCTACTCCTTGGGCAGTAAGAATAAGATGTAGTCAGTTGCGTGAGACGATGTGAAGGAGGGCCGCCAAGAAGACTGCTACAAGGACCAGCAGCGTTAGGCTTGGCTGCTGCTGCTGCTGCTGTCTTAGTGCTTCTGCTTCGGCTGTGCTGCTGCTGTCTTCGGAGACAGTGGGCAGCTTGTCGGTGCTGCCAGCTGCAGTGCTGCAGGTGGCGAGATCCCAAGGCGCATCGGGGCCCTTTCCAGCTGTTGCTGCTGCAGCTGCTTCTGTCCCGACGGGTGCTGCTGCTGCTTCAGCTGGGGCTGCTACTGCAGCTACTGTTGCAGCTGCTGCTGCTGCCCCCTTGCAGGTGCTACGAGACTGCTCAATCACCTCCCGCATGCTGCGGGTTAGGCTGGGCGCCGTCTTCATAGGAACTTCTCCAGCTGCTGCTGCTGATGCAGCAGCAGGAGGAGCGTTCTTCGATGCTGCCTTGGCAGTGGCACGGGCCTCACAGAAGCGCTTGAATGCAACCGCAAAACCGTCTTCCGCTGGTGCTGCGATGTTGCTGTTGCTGCTGCTGCTGCTGCTGCTGCTGCTGCTGCTGGTGTGCATGTCGAGGAGATTAGCAGCGTTGCTGTTGCCCATGACGAGCGAGATTGCCCTTCGCCTCATCATTTCCCGTTCCCTTTGTTGCTGCAGATGCTGCTGCAACACTTGCTGCTGCTGTTCGCGGTGCTTGTTCTGCTGCAGCTGGCGCAGCCTGAATTCGGCGTTTGGCGCCGCAGCTGCAGCACCAGCTCCACCAGCAGCTGAGCTTGTTGTTGCTGCTGCTACTGCATCAGCAAGAGGGGAATCGAAGCTGTGCTTTCTATAATAGCAGACGTGTCTGCATGAGGCCTTATCAGGATGTGTATTTATCTTCTTAAGAAGAGTAAACGCAGCAGCTCTCAGACTCTGCGCCTTCCTTGATTCAATCGAAATGATCCTCTCAGCACATGCTTCCTCTGCTCTAACAAAGAGAGGAGAAATGTTTATAGATGCCCCCGTGGCTATGCGTAAAGATTGTATATAACCCCCGCTTCTCCCTATCAGAGATCCAACAACAGCACGAGGCACGCACAGACGCAACGATACCGCTGCTGGCTGCTGCTGCTGAGGCTGCTGTTGTTCCTCCTGCTGATGGTTCTTTTCCTGTTCCTGTTGTTGCTGAGGAGGGATTGCACTAGCAACTTCTTCGCTTGCTACAGCTAGCTTATCCAACAGCCAGTCTAAAACGTGCAGCACAGACGTCTCGGGCCCCTCCAACGCCGCCACCCGCTCTGAAGTCCCAGGGAAATACATTCCATGGGGAGAGAGGACCTAAGAAAGAAAACAAAACAAAACAAACAAATAGATAAAACCCTGTTGCTACGCTACCAGTACTACTGCTGGTTGTGCCTGTGGTTGCCGTTGGTGCTGCCGCTGGCGCTACTACAGGGTATGGGATCTTTGTTGCTTACAATTTTGGCTCCTGTAAGGCTCTTGAGGGTCCGTATTTCGTTTCCTGCTTGGCCTATGATGATGCCAGCGAGATGATTGGAAACGAGCAACTTGCAGTAGCAGGTATCTGCTGCGGCTGCTGCCGTCGACGCGCCCAGGCAGAAGGGGACGTTGGGGATGCTGCTGCCGCTGCTGCTGTTGCACATGGTGCTGCTCATAGCGCTGTTCTGAGGAACAGCAGGTAGAAGCGGGGTGCTGCTCCCGCTGCTGCTGTTGCAGCGGCTGCTGGTGTTGCTCCCGTAGAGTCCTTCGTGCACGCTTCCACCGGCGCTGCTACTGCTGCAGTTAGTGCTGCAGTTGTTGCTGCTGCAGAGCTTAGTGCTGCTGCTGCTGCTGGTGCAGCTAGCGGTTGCCGGAGCCGCGACGGCCTGGTCAATGACGCATTGCTGCTGGGCTCTGTGCGGCGTGTTGCCTCCCATCTTCATTGGAAAAGGAGCAGAGGCGAAATGGAAGGGTTGAAGCAACAAACGGAATGTAGTTTGTTGGGGTGTAGTTGGGCCGGGGGGTGTACTTGATGTGCGGAAGGTTGCTCCGGTGGTGGATGGACACTTGAGAGCAGCGGCAGGTTCAGCGCCGAAGCAGGAGGAGGGAAGGTGAGAGCAAATAACGAAGAGGTCTGCTACGGCAAACCAGTTTGGTCAGTGTATTGATAATAAACGCAAATTGAAACAACAGAAACAGCTGCTACACAGCCGTTTTTCATTAGGCAGCCATAGAACTGAAGAGGAACAGTCAGCGGTCCGAGTCGGCTGCAGCTGACCGCCGCGTGCACGGCTGGGCGGCTGTTCTTCGGTGTCTATGGGGCTATTTTTCTCGACTAAAGAGCGAAAAAAGCCAATTTTTGTCTATTTCATATTCACAATCTAATTAAAAGATGCAAAATGAGCACAAATAACCCCTAGTTGCTCCTGTTCGCATTCCCACCACCGACGATGACCGGTCGGCGGCGGCTGGCGGTCGCGAGCGGTTGCACAGAAACCGAGCTGTACCCTGTCTTCGTTTGCGGTTTTTCTTTCATTTAATTCATTTTTCTAAATTATTTAAAATTATCGAAGTCAGAATGCATTTACACAAAGCCTTCCCGGCAAATAATAGAGCAACAAGCAGCAACAACCGACTGACAGGGCTGAAGAGAGCCGCGCCTTATTGGCGGTGTCAGTTGCCCCCCCCCAGTACTAGCCCCCACCTTTCCACTTCTTTTGATGATTTCTCCTTGTATTCAGCTCAAAACCCCGTCTTTAAACGTAAAGGAAAACAATAAACAGCACCACAAGGCCTAGACACAACCCCCAGCCGTCGGCGGCGTTGCCCAGCGGTTGCTGCCTACGGCTCCTTCGCCTCTTGTCATGTGTAAAATCAACAGAAACCCTCAGAGGCCCCCCAACTGACTTTAGGTAGCATCTTTTCACGGTTCGTCTGTGGGTGTGGGGCTCCACTGTGCATATGTAGCTGGATTGGTTGCTCGTCGGTGCACCCGAGAACCTCTTCCTTCGCCCTTGAAGAGCCCCTACGTTTTAGGGTGTAGGGCTTACGGTTAAGGCTTTGGACTGAGATACTGGATTGAGTGCACCACATACAGGCATCAGTCCTGCACAGTCCTAAACCCTAAAGCCTAAACGTGAACCCCAGCTGCATACAGGCCTGAAGTCCTCGATGGCTGTTGCAGTGTACGTCCGCCTCAGTGAGTGGCTGTTTGTGTGCCAAGTTCCCTTTCTGTTTATTTGTGGTCTATGGCTTATGGCTAGCACACAAGCATATGGCTGATGCTGCTGCAGTGTTAATGCGTTTCCAGTGCTATCGTACTAGGGTGGAGCAAAAAGCTAGAGGAGAAGAGCTGTTGGAACCAGGCATGCATACGCCTGAAATATACCCCTGTGCTACGAAACGCTAAGCCGTTGCACTCATTCAAACGCAAGTTGCTGGAGTCCTCCATACACCCCAAAGCCTAGCTCTGGGAGCAGCAGGGAGGCGCCAAGAAAAGGTTTGGGCTTTGCAGCATTTAAGCATTCGACTGTACAGGCACCCAACGATGCGGTGGTTTATGGGGGTGCATCGAGGCGTACAGGCACCTAAAAAGATTGGTTGCTGAACTCTATATGTTGACATATAAACATACATACAGATATATATTTACATTTACACCTCTAATTACATTTCAGTTTATATACATTCATATCTCCATGTACTAATATACATATATACGACATCTGTACATGCACGGAGAAGAATGGCCTCTTATGCGACAGGAAAAAATACAGACCAGCGCTAACTGAGGCACAGCAGAGCCGCACGAGCCGTTCTCAGTTCTTTCTATATATAACTACATATTTATTATAATTATGCGTATAAACATTATATATATATATATATATATATATATATATATATATATATATATATATATATATATATATATATATATAAAGGGGAGAAGCCCTGCGTTTCACAGCGCTCTTCACTGGGCAGTCCAGAGGGCATCGCTGGGATGTACAGACAGCTGAATCTCCACTAAGGGCGGCAGCTGCAGCTGCACCAGGCCGTCCAACGCCACAACAATTTCTCCAGCCAGAGGCTTCACCCGCACCTCTCGGCCCACCCCCATGTTCCGCTCGCAAGAGAAAACCCTTGAAAGAAGAAAGCAAAGCAGCAAACCCAGGAGGAGCAGTGAATGCAGATGTACGTCTGCCCTCACGAAAAGCAAGGCCATATGCATTTGTGCAACTTCCACTGTGATGAATCTCTGTAGAGTCTGGAGCGTGTGAACTGTCTGCAGTGTATGCACGGGCTGCAGTCTATACACACCGGCGTATATGCGAATACACTGCACACTGTGCATACACTGACGCTAGATACACTGAACCACATTCCACAACCACTGGGTTCCCCTGCCTTCCTCTGAGGTGTATATGCAGTTGGCATCTATGCGTTGATGTACATCGACAGCAGCAAGACTGTGCTGTGTGGTTTCCATATAACTGGATGTGTTCTTGCTGGAGTGTGCGTAGACTTCGTCGACTGAGTTTTGGTTGGGGTGTACACGCAAGCGGATGCGCAAGTGCTGCGGCCGCGTATGTGCAGGTGCCTTTTGTGCTTGTGTTGGAGTGTATGGACAGCTGAATAAATGTGTGGTCAGTACCTGTTTTCAATCGGCTCTCGAACAAGAAAACGCAGGAGAAGGGCCCCAGGGTCCAGGAGGAGATGGTGGTTGGCCCCCGAGACTATTTGCTGCAGCTCCGCATCGCTGAGGGGTCCCCATTCTGCTGTACATAAACCACAGACATGAACAATTCTGCTTCTCCTTAAATGTTTTTAATGCATGCATGATCGCTTCTGGCATATTCGCGTATTCGGGCTTCATCTGGAGCAGCGTGCTTCATCCACACACTATGTATATACATACATCCCTAAACCAGAAACCCTCTAACAATACACCGTAGATATGTGTAAAAATATATACACATACACCATGCATATGTGCACATACTTACAAATTCGT